CAGAAGTTAAGTTGCAGAACACTTCTCTCCCATGGCCATACATTCAAAGATGTAACACTAATTGCAGTTGCTCACAACTTCAACTGGATTTTCGGTACCAGGAAAAAAAGAAATCTTACTGGATTCTCCCCATTTGAACATTGAAGACAAGCAGTTTTAACCAAGAAAACTAGAAATAGATAATAAAACACAAATAAAATCACCATCATTTTGCACCAGGTAGACTTCAATTCAAACAATACTTTTAATTTAGTCACTTAAAAACATATAATTCTTACTAAAACAATGAAATATCCGGAATATAATTTGCAGTTACGAAACTTTACCAAACAAAGAACAGATGCCGATGGTGGCGCTAACCAGTTATTATAAACTTTTGAGAGAGTGGTGTATGTAAGGTGAATTTGTTTGCATTTAAAGCACGTACAGTAGATATAATGTTGGCATAACTCTATGCTACTTTCATGCAATGTGGCTGACATTTCTTTGGATATTGTACTTTTGGAAATTGTAAATGATCTTAACACACTGCTAACTAAAATGATTGTTCCCTTGTGCTAAAAAATGAACCTGAATTTGTCTAAAGTACACAATACTTGGCAGCTATTAAAATAGGGAAAATGAATCGTGCCAGACTAGACAATACCAGCATCTGAAAGCGCAATGAATAAATTAACAAATATATAAAATGTAAACAAAAGATACAATTTACCTCTGAAGTTTGGGAAGTGAAAATGAGCAAGTGGTTCTAGCACTCTTTTTTTGAAAGGCATACATCTGGAGTAAGGCCAAGCTGTATACTCTATAACTCATATTACACCCATCAATCACACACCAAAATAAAGGGAGTTAAGGTTCTTTGAACAATTGATATGATTAACAAAGTCTTTATTAAATATCTAGTATAACTAATGAGGAAACCCGGGGAAATACTTTTTCGTTAAAATTCTAACCCTACGCTGAATATAAAACTGTAGAGTTCCACTGATATGGCTCATCGATTTCAGCATCATAATCAAGTTGAAGCAAACTGAATGAAACATCAAACCTTTCAAGCATTCATGTACATTTTTGTAACCTCGACGCTTTTTGTGTTTTCTGTTTTATTTCGTCTTGTCTGTGTTTTTTATTTTCCTTTTATTAACGAATGTTTTAGAGTCAAAGGCGCTTATGCTAGAAACTAGTTTTGCACTGTCTGTTGTCAGTATATAAAGTCAGGACCGGGCTTAAGTTTAATATTATAAAAAACTTGTTTAAAAGTTCATTTCCAAATGCAGTGTTCAAAGGGTTTCAGCGTGTAAATCGGAGCGGAGGAGAAATGGCAGCCAAAATGATTAATATATGGCACCGCGTTTGCTAAGACAGGTGCTGTATACAATACCATTTCTTGTAGAAATGAGTGGAACTACTTATTTGCATGAAATCGAAAAGCTTGTAGGATATTCCAGTCGAATAATTAGTTACATATTTGCCCACATTATGCTTATGCATAACTCCAACATTTTCCATTTGTAATGAATTTATATTTAAACAAATTCGAGGATGGGAGTGAGGGTGGTTACTGACTCTTTCGGCATGTTCTTGAGTGACAAAAACGATCAAACAATCAACATAGAAAACTAGCTACATGGAGTACGTAGCCTAACACAAGCTGCGCCCAGGAAAGTAGGAAGACGGCATACACATCTATGGTCCTAGCAATATTCGAGTATGGGTGATCTATATTGGACCCCTACCACGCTAGAGATATACAATCCATCGAAATGATTCGGCGCTGAACAGCAAATTTATTCAAAAGAATTATTGATCTCTTGTCGATGGTCTTTATAAATAATGCTACAATTTCAGAAATTTCCTTTCCTTAAACAAGGACGTGAGTTCAAAAGGCTCACTAGCCTTTTCAAAATAGTGAAGGGTATGGTACCAGCAATAGAGGGGTCCGGAGTGGCCGAGTGGTCTAAACTTCTAAAGCGTTCTCCGCTATGGATCACTGCCATCTCACCTCTGTTTGCGTGGGTTCGAGTCTAAGATTCGGCGAATATGGATATGTGAGAAAGCTGTCCAGTAGCTTCTCGTGGATCGGTGGTTCTTTCTGCGGATTTCCCGGTTTTATCCTCCACCATTAATATTGGCCGCCATGTATAGTCTATCGTGTGCTGAAAAATGGCGTTAAGCCCCACAATAACAATAACAACAACCAACAATAGACACCGCTGATTACTTATACTCAACCATAAATGACGTATAAAATCTAAATCTTATTGACGACTTTGAAACTAAAACTTTTGAAGAAAATCAGGTCATTAAGAATTATACATATTTTGCTGTTAAAAGCTCTAGCACTGAATAGTTTAGAAACTTTTTTTTATAACATCCTATTGTGCTGTGGCACCACCTGGACGAGAGTATTGTGAGCGCCAACTCAGCTTTCGAATCAGCACTCCACAAGACCTACTAAGATGCGAAACCAGAACCCACCCCCGCTATTATTAGTCTCTGCTAGGTCCAAATACAGATGCAAACGTTATCTGGTGCCTCGTGCATTTTATGTCATCTAGAAATTAGGAAACGTGCAAGTTTAGGATTAAGGAACCCATTGCATGGATTTTAGCCACAGAGATACACCTGAGAGCAATTTCACACATAATACGTTCATTATAATTGGTTATAAGAAATACCGTATTTTGATGACGTTATATATGTAACCACACGACGACTTTCGTATAATAGTATATTCTTCGGTCCAGGTTAGAGTAAACCTTTCTATTTGAATTTATTCTGTGGAATTGTGTTTATATAGTTGGAGCAAGTGGTTCAGGAGCTCATTTGTATGTAAATCTAAGTCTTTTCCTCCCCCTACTTTCCATTTCAAACTGTAACAAGCAATATACCATCGAGTTTAGCAACGTTTTACCTTTTTAATTAATTTAATCTATGCTTACTGCAACAAAGAAAAATGGCCTAGTGATTAGAGCGTCTGTCTAGGATGCTCAAGGTCATGGTTTTGACCCTTAGCGGAAACATACCAAAGACTTACAAAAATGATACTAACAGCTGCCTCACTTGGTGCTCAGACTTAAGAGGTTAGTATTAGGTCTGGTCGGCCTGGTGTCAGGATAATGTGACTGGGTGGGACATCATGCTACATGTCTGTGGCCTGATGCCTCAGTGCTAGACATCACTATAGACTGCCACACTGTAGACATCGTAGCGATATGACTGAAAAATTGTTAAAACTAATTTAAAAAACAAATCATAATCACATCACACAATCATATCATTCATGTGCACAAACATCGAAACATGCGAAGAAGTGTGCTTTTTGCTGCATGATGACACATAATTTTTCATAATATATCAAGGCAACAACAACGTAAATTTGTGTTAGAAAGATGACCTTTGCTGAGGTAATTTGCGCATTGGTGGGACTATATATCATAGATAAAGAGACGAATCAATAGTAAATTAAACAATATTCAGCAGATGTTCAACATTGTATTAGCAATCAATTATAGCATTATTTGAGAAATAATTTACACGTTATATAATACATGCGGCTGTTAATAGATTCGTATCTGTCTTCATAACACAGTTTTCCGATCAGGTGTTTTGTTAAATACCTATTTTATCACAGTTTGTAAAATATTTATTGGTGTTCAAATCTCTAAAAATTTCAATAAACTGGCAAAAGTACTTCTGTTGCCAATTACTTTGTCACTTAACTAAAAACCTATTTCCGGCAAAGTCTGAAATTATTAACGACAATGAGGCACAAAACACCAAATTACAGATCACAAGGTCCAACACAATGGATGTATAAGAGTAGGCGTGGCAGCAATGAAACGCAGCGTGAACTTATTTTGATCGTGGTTATCTCTTTTTTGTGGGTTGGAAAATTGCCATAAAATAAAATGTGATGTTATTACATGACGTTCCCAGTCATTAAACCGTTGTTGTCTCTGCTCCGAAACCGCTCCGGTGGCCTAGTGGTTAGAGCGTCCGCCTTGGATGCGGGAGGTCGTAGGTTCTATCCCCGGTTAGCCATACCAAAGGTTTACAAAAATATCTAATATCTGCTTCGCTTGACGCTCATCACTAAGAGGTTAGTGTTAGGACTCGTGGGCCTGGTGTTTGGATAATGTGACTGGGTGGGACATCATGCTACATGTCTGTGGCATGATGCCCCAGTGCTAGACATCGCTATTAACTGCCACACTGCAGACATCGTAGCGATATGACTGAGAAATTGTTAAAGCTACGTTAAAAAATATAATCATATCACATCACATCTCTGATGCGATAATAAGTCAAATCTAGCATAAAAATAAAACGTAGAACGGTCATACTTTTACTATTGTTATTGATCCGAAAGCTAACTTCCCATTCATTACATCATCGAAATTTTGGTGATCTTCGTTACCTACAGCATTTGGCACCAAGTAAAAGATGTTTTCCATTACTGAATCACTGAGGTAACAAATACAACTTATGAGTTTCCAATGCTTGCATAAAATCAAAGTTAACGTTGTAAAAGAAGAACGCAAATATAAATAATTAAAGCTTTTCATTAAAAACATGGCAAATACTGCTGAAGATGTTTTCACAAAAAATTTTTTAAATTGTTTTGCAGAGTTGTGGTGAAAATTAAATTTTGCATGATATATAAAGGTAAGAAAGGTGATTTATAAAGCCCTTTTTTCAAATATTATATGTAAATGTAATGCCTTGTATAGGCAATATCTAATTCGTTCATCGACAGGATGAAAAAAAAATCATTTATGCTTAAGGTAACTCTTAGAGAGAGTTAATATATAAAGTTGAATTGAAGAAAATTAAACACAAGGCATCTGCCATATCTGATAGGCAATGATTAGTTTATTTTGTCTGAAAGTAATATTTGTACATAATATAATATTTGCGATTTCATACATTTCAGCATATTCACTGTAATTGTTTGGTTCGCATCAGACGTGCACTTATCAATGCCATTTATAAACGAGGATCCGCTCCGTTGGCCTAAATGGTTTCAGCATCCGCCTCGTATGCGGGAGGTCGCGGCTTCGAAACCCGGCGGAATTACACCAAAGACATAAAGTTCTTGCCTCGCAATGCGCTAAGCATTAAGAAGTAAATGCTAGGACTGGTCAGCCTGGTTTCAGAATAATGTGACTGGGTGGGACGTGACGATGCATATTGACGGCATTATAGCATTGTTTGCCACACTGCAAACATCGTAGCAATATAACGGCAAAATTATTAAAGCCACGTTAAAATACAAATCACACACACCCACACATACATGCACACACACGCACACACACATACACACATGAGGATATATTGAGTGAAATGTGAATGTTTTAGGTTTGATTGTTGACACCACAGCATCGTCTTTGTCTTCTTCATACGCAATTATTGCAATGATCTTCATAAATAAGATTATTACAGAATTTAGATACCGGTATTTCAGTAAAATATAAAGTCAACGATATATTGAACAAAACTCTCTCTCTCTCTCTCTCTCTCTCTCTCTCTCTCTCTCTCTCTCTCTCTCTCTCTCTCTCTCTCTCTCTCTCTCTCTCTCTCTCCGCCAGATTTAATGGGTTTATTGCATGTGCCAAACCGACGTACGATGACAACACCTACGCGTTACAATTATCCAGTTAACTGGCAGGTTATTGTATTGCAATGAAATAATGAAATGTGCAGTAACAACATTTAACTAATTCGCAGATCTATTGTATGCCTCAAAAGTGAATTAGTACGCTATATGTAAAATGGTATTTCTCTTCCTCAAAATACTCAAAATGTAATATATATATATATATATATATATATATATATATATATATATATATATATATATATATATATATATATATATATATAACTCTCAAGATTAATAGTCATTTTGATTTACTTTCTCAGGAAGCTGTTTTGTACTTAAGAAGTCTAAGAATGAATCTTGACCCACATGATGAGCACACAGATAGCACCATCTGGTTAGCCCTAGAACAAGCACATCTTAAGTTCTTTATTGAATCATTACCTTCCAAACTGGAGAATGAATGTGGAGAGGGAGGACAGAATCTAAGGTCTTAATAAAGAATGTAGTAGTAGCTGTAAAGGCTGGTTCTAACCCAGAGACCTAAACATGCCTCCTCGTCAACACCCCACGATTACCTCTTGATTATGTCCAAAACATAAGATACATCATCATTAAATTCATCATTCTATCTCATAACAGTATATTCGACGTACTTGTTTGGTGCATTTTAATGTCTACGATCTATAACCAGCCTTTCCCTACTGCTGTTACTGTCAACTTTTCAAACATTATTTTTATTGTTCATACCTTATCCCCGATGATCAATGTTTCTAGATATTAGAAATATTTCATCGTCGCGATGGTAGTTACTAAACTTTACCGTTCACACAGCGACGACATTCGAACAAATCCTTCATTTGCATCTTGTAAAGAGGATATTTTTGTCGATAAAATAAAGTTATTGGCGGAGTTTAAAAGTTTTATGACCCAATCAGTCAACATATATATATACTAAACTTGCCTTTGATCTAGATTGGTCAAAAGAATGGTCGATCTATTCTTGTTTGGGGCATTTTAGGGGTCTCTGGGCTAGAACGAGCCTTTATCTCAACTACTGATGTACTTCTGTTTCTATTCATTAATATCATTAATAACTTTTTTCTCGTTGAGGGGTGTCAATCAAGAGGATCAGACATTAAACAGGAGTTATACAGATAAATTGGAAAAGATTTACTGTTATTATTCAGTATTTAGAGAGATACTAATCATCATGGTAAATATTTTTTTGTCTGGAATGATTTTCACTTTTGTTTAGCACTGCCAAGACCTGAATGATTATACTGTGTTACATCTATTGTGTGTAACCCATATTGATGACACTTTTAATTGTAAAGAAATTTCAATATTTTAAATTCTTTTAAATTACATGACTACCTGATACATATTGTTCGGAATTCATACACGTTAAAGTTTGACCCAAATTTGAGATAATTGTGGTTATTGAAAATCATATATTTAAGGTAAAAGAAATATTGAGACAAAGAAACACTGGGTAATATTTCTGCCGGTATGATGTTTATCTTTGCAAATGACTAAATTCCTTTACTTTACTGAAGTCATTTGTCATAATAATCATACTAGGTCCTTCAAACATATTTCAGTGTTCGACAGAGACAGCTGATATGTCTAGCAAGAAGTTTGCTGAAGAAAAGTAAAGTCCTTGTTCTTGATAAATCTAGAGCAGCCGTAGACATTGATACAGATGATCTTATTCTGCAAACAATACGAGCAAAGTTTGCCGACTGCACAATATTAACCATTGCCCATAGATTGAACACAGTGATGGATTATGACAGGTTCGGTTTATTATGCAAACCTAAGTATTCTTAATATATTCTCAGGCCCAATAATAAAGAAACGAAACATAGCAGTCACATTTACAGCGTCGCAGCGTCGGCAGCGCTGGCATAGTCTACAGATCAAAAACGTTTGGTTAAGGGTTTTAAGTGAACTCCATTATTGACTAACGTCATACATGGGTTGAATGCTTATGTAACTAACGCGACTAATGCCCTGACACGAGTGCTTGCCAATTTGACGTTGGAAAGAACACGGCCACAAAATATTTAAGATAAGTTTTATGTTAAATATTTTGCGTTTATTTTCTTAACTCATTGATAGTGTCAATACTTGGGATGAATTGTTAGAAACCTAAGACAGTTCATTATTTATGCGACAAGCTCAGGTAATATTTGCATCTAAGTTCATTCAATTATTTTGTTGCCATTTGTTATTATTTATTTGCTCCTGATTCGGTTTTCTTCGTACCTGTAATAAAACATGAAAGAGCGAAACCTGTTCAATCGGTGACATGCTCAATTAACATTTTGACTTTTGTGTCAAGGTCATTCGATCTAAAGCGATACATTGATCGAAGGCTCTATATGCAGACCCTGTTAGTCCTTGTGTATTAAGTAAAGGATCTGGGCTCTAAAGTAAACATTGCAAGGCTCCACATGTTTTGTGTCTTGGAATACTAGTCTGCGTTTCTGACGCTTTTGTTAGCATTAAAATAATTACGTCCTCCGAAATGTAAAAGTCTAATCCCAAACAAAGTCGACTCAGATACCATCTTATTAATATCAGTTACTTTTATTTGTGTTCGCTTTGTTTTAATAATAGCGAGTTGTTTAATATACACTTATACTGAAAAGATAGTACGACCATACAAGTAACCAAAATAATGGATTTTGTTTATTAAGAATTATGCGTGGCGAACAACGCAGATAATAATAAAACCCAAGTTATCACGAACCATGGTAAGCAGCTGATTTAGTAGTTAGGTATATAGCAGCATATATGTGATTTTAATGATAAATCGATACGTGAAGATCAACATTTATCATCTATTCGCTATCATGGAGTTATTGTGCTTCTCAAGTTGTTATAAGAGGAATTTAATTTATGTCACAAATGAGCAATTAAAGCCCTGTAACTCTGAATACAATTTATACATGACGTGTATAATTTATATCACGGAAAAGCAATTGCAGCCCTATAACTTTGAGTACAATTCATATATGACGTGCGATACCTATTCTTATTCTTTTGTAACCTCTTTTTGTTAGAATTCGTTTTAAAGCTGAAAATAAACTTGCCTTTCGAAGTAGCAAACCTGTGCACTGTTTTAACAAGAAAAATGTTTGCTCTCATAATACAAGTATTAAATCATGCCAATTATCACTACTGTTTACTTCTTCATAGTCTTTATCGCGCAATCATCTTTTTCTCGTCATCGCATTAATGTTCCTTTATTTTCTTTACATTTTTAAAGATATATTTTATAATTTGATAGAATTCGCATCGCACTAATTGTTTCCGTATCCGCTGAACGATTATTTCATGATTCTTGTGTTAGACAGAGGAAGAGTCAAGGAGTTTGACTCTCCTGGCTCCCTTTTGAGTCTAACTGATTCTTTATTTTACCAGATGGCAAAAGATGCTGGGATTGTCAGTGGTACAAATGATGCCAAAAACCGAGGTTCACAATATACACATTCCAGTGTGAGAAAAAAACTACAAATGAGCTATACAATATAGTCAAATCTGCTTAAAAATAATTGAAGAAAGGGGTGTATGATTATGTCCGTACAGTAATGGCCTCAGCAAAAGCATGGATCTATTTGGATCATTTTTGTGTGGCCCCATGGATTTACGCTCGTTGCTCCATGTAAGCAGGGTATTACAAAGTAAACTTTTAAAGACGTTTTATATGATATTGAACTTAAAATTTCCTTCCTTGGCATTTATAATTACTTTTTCTCGAATTATTTTTCAAAATTACTAACGCACTTAGATCGTTTGAGTGCAGGGCCTGATTGCCAAATTGGTCTTATCGGCTTAAGGACGGCTCCGAACCTGTAGTACTACAACCAAAAAAGGTTTAATTGTTATTCATTCAAGTTTTTCTCTAGACAAAAATATATCAATTTGATACATTTATTAAAACTGAACATAAGAAATTGTTTTGTGAAGGATTCTCATTGAATTTGTTTCAGAGTCTTATATTAAGAAAGTATTTGTACTCACTGCCATGTTACCATGTTAATTTGAGAGCAATAAAATATTGTTCAACCATACATACCCTCCATTTCATTTTTATCACAAAGACGTTTATGTGATTTTATAATTTATGTCACATTGACTCTTCTTTGTCGTATTATTGCTTTAGCATATTTCTTTATGACATTATAAGTCGATAAAAAAACCTATATCAACAGCTTTATATGTATTTAAATATATATGCTTGCTAGCTATAATAACTAATTAGCCTATTGCCAACTGTCAAAAATAAACATGTGCCAGTACCCATGGGCCTCTCTCACATTACGCTAGAAAAGCTCTCTCTCTCTCTCTGTTTATATATATATATATATATATATATATATATATATATATATATATATAGACACACAGACAGACAGATACAATTATAAACTCGACAGAATTTGTGATACAATGTCCGTCATCT